TGTGTTTAACTACATTCTATAAGTTCTGTAAGAAAAAGAGAGGCTATGGCGACAAGCACATGGAGAAAGTAATCAAGATTTTAAGTCAGATGAATTGAAGTATGAGAAACTTACCCATTGCCCTAGACAGAGGGATTGATAATATGCAAACTATTGGTCAGCAATAAAAAGAAACGCCACAAGTAATTCTAGTTGAATTGTGCTACTACTGCTAGTATCCAAGATGCGGCTACTATAGAATCAAACTAAACTATCCGATTTCCAAATTGAAAATCCACACCATTGGATGTAATCTACTACACCTGCTCCCTACTAACAAAATTTCTGATATTTTCGAGTTGTTTTGACCATGCATTTTGCATCAGTAAGATCAACATTTAAAAATTTTCACAAGATCGACAATTTTTTACCCTTTTATATATGATTCGCAACATGTCAAAATCATCAGAAATTTTCTTCGTAGGAAGTTCATGTGTAGTACATCACATCAACAGTGGGATTTTCAATTCGAACAAAACTTGACCAATAAAACATGACCGCCATAACAAATTATATCATGATATTTTTTCAAGTCCTTGGATTTCTATGTTTTGAGAACATGACTAGTATAACAAATTCTCAGTCAACAACAACGATAAAAAGATGCATCATATATAAAGCATTCACCAGACTCAATATTATGACCATAATGGTATTCATACATCACACTCAAAAAGATTGAATGCACATTAAGCAAATAGCTCTTCTTTAACTGAATCTCCAAAACAATTAAATTTTGATTAACTTGAACTTAATGATTCGAGATCAAACTAATATTGCCATGGGAAAAAAAGACTTATGTTTAACTATGCTCCTTAAGTTCAATAAGCATAAGACAACTGCTCAGGAAAGAACTTAGGAAGTAATTGAGATTTTAAGTCTTTTGAATGTAAGTATGAGAAACTTACCCATTCCGCTGGACAGAGGGATCGATAGTACTTGGCAAATTTTTGACAGTCCACAGACTCTCCTTTGGCTGACAAACACCTGCAATCACATTTCAAAGCAGTTGCAAGTTGTCGAAGGTAATTTGAAATTGTTTGCAGGGTAAGCAGGAAAGACTAGAATATAATGACCAGCGGAAACATCAAATTTAAGTTGAGCATCCATACTTGTGAAACTCAATGTAGCGTGTGAAACAGTGTCTTGTCTGATTGGTAGTAGGGAAGCGGAAATCAGCTGGTGCAGTTCTTAATTCAATCTGACAAAAGCAATAGATAATTAATTAATATGTTTGGCATACTATAAGTCACCCAATGGCCAAAGCCATCTTAAGTTATGGTAAAAAATTAACTTAAAGTGCACAAGATGGTTTGAGAATGGTCCATCCAAAACTGGATTTCTGCAAGTGGAAAGTAAAAGATATTGACAAAGTTCATAAATAAAATAAACATCAAGAGACAACCCAAACATTTAAGCAATACATAATGCTAGTGAAGTAACTTAATCTAACTTCAGGCATAAACATACCCATCTTACATAGATAACAAATAGAAAATCTGCAGATGATTAAATTTAATGCAATCTTCTCAATGATCTTTGGTTGCATATGTGTACCCAGAGTTATTTGAGTTTAATGAATAGCTCACGACTTTGACAGATACATATTAGACAAGCTTTAATATATACCATCTTCAGTAATAGCCTAATAGGTGTATGGCAGAAGATGCATTGACATAGTACTTAAAGAACAAAACTTCTTTTTTAAAAGTTGATGTGTTTGTGTTAAAAGGCCACATTTGTCGGAGCTGAAATTTGCTGCAAAGTGCTGAAATGGAAGATGACATGAGTTTATTTAGTGAACTACATGACATGAACTTGTGTTTTCAATTTTTAGCAATTATGCGCTTCAACCAAAAAGGTATTGTTTCATATAAAACATCAGTGTAAGACTGTCATATTAACAGCCTGATGTTATATAAAACCTAGCAAAAAATCCCATATCTGGATTGTGGGGTAAGTAAATGACATTGTAGGTTCAAATTTTCCTGTAATCATTAGCAAAATAAATCCACAGCATTGCACCATCAAGCATCAGCAATGTCAAATAACAATAGCAAAAATGAAAAAGAAAAAGAAAAGCCACCACATCAAACATAAGAGGTGATAATATTGACATACTGCTAAAGTACTTCGTGAATAACTCGTGTATATTTGAACTCCTATGACTACCCAAGATTTTCCCAAGCTAATAGGTCATAGTTAACAGCAAGGATATGCCTAATAATAGGTTAACAATAGCCCTATGATGTACACGTACACATTGAATCAAACACAACATGCTGACATGCAACAAATTCTAGAATCTACATACTATATGCATGTCCAACACATTTCTGATAGCATTGTTTCATCAAAATTATGCATGTCAATTTGACGGTTATCAGTGCACCTGTTCTATCTCATAGTGGAAAGAAAATTTTATTATTAGAAAACGGAGCTCAACATAGCTAGAAACTTTGGTGATGTTTTTATTCTTTGACAGTACACAGCTTTCATGTACAGAATCAATTAAATTGGGAAAGTTGACAAGTAGCAGACTGAGATTTTGAAATAGACGTAAGTCCTCTTTTTCATTCATGATTTAAGAAATCCATGATTTAAGGGATTTTAAATTTAGGATTTGAAATCCATGATTTAAGAAATCTTTTGTTTGGATACCTTTATTAAATGCAAGGATTTGAAATCTTTGATTTCAAAATCTAGTGTGTGGATACTTTATTATACATGAATTTGAATTTAAAATTGATGAAAATTTATTCTCTTTAATTCTCCAACAGCCAAAGAGTTACATCATGATTCAATCTGAGAACTCACGCAGAAAAATAGAAGAAGAGATCCCAGAAAAGATCCCTTTTCATAAATTTCAGTGATCATCAGAAACCTAATATCTCTAATCCCCCGCATTAAGTTTTCGCAGTTTTAATTAAAAAATATAAATCGCGATGTAAAATGGGATGATCAATCAAGAATTCATGAAACTGTAAAATGCATTACTATGTTTAGCAATTTACACATTAAATCGCAAGTTCTCATCCGAGAAAAAAAAATAAAAAAAATAAAAAATTGACAAATAAATAAATCAGGAAAACTGAAAAAATGAAGGGAAAACCCTAGGACCAGGAAAATGAGAGGAATAAAGAATCATTTTTTACCCCCGCCATTATTGCAGAACTCTGATCGAAGAAAACGAAAAAAAAAAGCTTAGAAATAAAATAAAATCACTCTCCGCGATCACTTCTCCCTTCGTTCTTCTTCACACAAAGCCCTCCGGATCTTCACAATTTACAACATGGGCCTGGGGCCTGCACTTAAAGCCCAAGCACGAATAAGGCGTATTTCCAGCACGGGCTTAAGCAAACCGAAAATGCTATTCGGCACGCACCAAATCGCGCAGCCAAGAACTCAGGAGAGAGAAGTGGGAGGTGGGACCCACTTGTGAAATAAAAACATAAGTGAGTCCCACCCCCACTTCTCCCTCTTGCGCGATTTGGCTAAGGAATGCGCTACAGTTACACCCCAACCACACTCCTAGTTACAGTGCACTGGGACCCACATGAGAATTTTAAAAAAATTCTCATGTGGGCCCCAGTGCACTGTATCGAAAGAGGTGTGTGGTTGGAGGTGTGGTTAGGGGGTATGTCTTTAACATTTTCCTTTGGCTAAATAGCATAGTTCAAACCAATAGATAACTCCACATCATGACATAATGCAACACAGAATTGGGGGGGGGGGAGGGGGAGGGCGAAGGGGGCAAATTATTTTCGTGGACTTTTCATTTTATACTTCAGCATTATACACTGAAATAAAGGATATATGAGAAATTTTACAGTAAGTCCGAACGTCATGTTCATAATGTTATATTATTAAGCTAATCTATTATGTTATGTATTTAGATTAGCTCTAAAAATAACCTCCGTTAATTTTATCAAAAGTCTAAATCAAAGCGGCGGTTGATCTTTGACGTGTGATCTTTGACATCTCTCTCTTTGCAGACCCCTCTCTCTTCTTGCCAAGCTCAAATTTTTTATTTCTCTCTTCTCTGCCAAACCCTAACTTAATTAATTTTTCTTATGTTTACGCAGCTCAAGAGTTGTCTCAATTTGCAAGATTGTACTTTCTTTCCTTGCTCGCAAAACCCTATAAGTTTTTTTCATCTTCCTTAACTAATTTAAGGGCCTTCAGAAATGTTTTCTTTGTCACTTGTGTCTTTTTCAGTCATTGAGTCCCAACGAAAATCTTGAATCGAAGTACTAATTTCAGCATTACTCGCTTAATCTATTTAATTGTCATTTTAAAGCCAAATCATTGATCTATCACGTACAACTAGAGACATAATCTCTACAAAATTATGAAACGGTGTATCCTCCATTGGATGGCCTCCTCTTAATTTGGATAAATCTCAATATTCCACCAATATCTCAACAAATAAAAAAAAACATAATTTTCTTAAACAAATCAATTAAAATTGTTTCAAGGTATAGTCTAATTATTTCATCAACAATCTTTCTTAAATATTAGGCTCTATCCTCCACATGTATCATGCATTCCATCATCACAGCACAATGCATGAGTTTAGCGGCCGGACCACCCCATCCATAAACCCGAACGCGGCCCACCCGATCCCAAATTCAATTTGTTGGGGAATTTTAGTCTTCCCGTCTACTACGATTTGCGCAACTTGGAAGTCAACCCACAATCAATAAGATATAAAATAACCACAATAAAAAAAAAGAACATCGAGATTTACGTGGTTCAGTCAACCAACTTCGACGTATGTCCACGGGCAACAATGCTAGAAATCCACTATGTATCAGGGAGAACTATAAGAGGAACCACTCAACTCTAGTCTCTCAATCAACCTCACATACATAATCAACTCTCATATTATCTCCAAAGCCCTCTCCCAACCTCACATACATAATCAACTCTCATATTATCTTCAAAGCCCTCTCCTTACAATCTTTTGAACGGACAAAGACTGTGAAACCCTCTCCCAATGATGTAATCTTTTGTACGGATAAAGATTACGAAACACTCGCCTCTCACACAATATTCCTGAATCAAGCTACGCTCTATGCTAACCCTAGATTACAAGAATATTGGCTCTTTCTCCTCTCCTTCGTTTTTTCTCCAACAATAGAAATATATATATAGAAGAACCATAACTCTATCTCTAGCCTAACTTCCTAATTAGAATAGGATTCAAACTCCTAATCATGATGAAATATTATCTCCTAATCATGATAGATCTCTAACCCTATCTAATTCTCATGAAGTTATACAAAGAATCAAAGACACAATCCCATCACATTTTGCCTCTCTTTTACCGTTTATCTGCTCATGTTTTGAAGACTCAAAACACATGATGGGATTCATCAAACACTGAGCCTGATCACTGACCTAAATAGGCAAGCGTACGACTATTGTTTTGCTATACGGTTTACTTTTTTAAGAAATGAGTTTCCAAAAGTATCATATATGAGAGTACACAGAAACAGTCTACATATTTATTCTTTGGTTATTGATTTTTTATGTTGATGAAATTTATGTGAAGATGTGATGGTGCTATGTCGGATATTTGGTCTTGTGGTGTGATTCTATATGCATGTCATCCTTTTAGGATATCTTCCATTTGATGACAGAATCATGGCTGGCTGTTCTTTATCAGTAACTCACCATTTATAATGTTCATCTTTTCTGAGCTTTTTCTCTCTATAAATAAAAATGATTTGATTTGCTAATACATTGTTTTCGATTGGTTACAGATACTCAAGGGCGATTTCCACACTTCCAAAAAATGGCTTTCTTCTAGAGCTACTTACACGATTCGCAGAATTCTTGACCTAAACCCGAAGAATATGATAAATGTTGATCGAGCCAAAACAGATGATTGGTTTAGAAAGGATTACTCGCCAGTGATGATGATGATGATGATGATGATACAACAATTGATGACAAAGAGGTATTATTTTTTTGGTCTCGTTTGTCCAGAATGGCGATATCTGTATTTTTGTATTTATGAGTGAGAAATGAAATTTGAAGGTATTATGTTTGAAACTGACAATGCTATTTGTTTATTAACAGCCTGATGAGGGAATGATAAAATGGAAAAGAGATCCTCATCCATGTCAATGCTCTTCAACTAACGGGAATGTCCTCGTACCGTGACCTTTCAAGCTTCTTTGAGGAAGAGGTAAGCTTCAACTATTTACTAATAAACCTGTAGCAGGTCAACACAACTTTTCCTTTATAGCTGCTAAAACAAGTCCAGGCTTTTGTGAGTGCAGGCGGGAGAGACTCCGGGTATGGAATTTAATGCATAATAAGCAATCGAAGGACTCCGGGTCATAGGGGCATCCAGTTGGAGTGCAGGTGCTTCGATTTGAAGCGCGAAAGAAGACTCTAGCGGGAGAGACAAAGTTTCAAGACGGCACAATGATAGATCTTCAAATCGCAGAGTACCTGGCAATAAATTCTAAGGTTGCTTATTATGCATCAAGTTCCTTACTTGGCAAGTGCCAATGTGATGAACACTAATGACTAACCAAATGTCTTCTCGAAGTTTTTCTGTGTTGTGTTATGAAAGATGACTTCTCCAGCTCCTCATACCTCTCTGTTATCTACTCATGTAGCTTTTTTTCCTCCTCCTTTTCAGAAAATCCTTTTCAGTCTTCCATGCGCTTTGTCTTCCTTCTTTGCCTTGGACTTCTTCAAGCCACCACAACAGCAACACTAGCAAGGGGATCGTAGCCGTAGAGTGCGTGCAGGTTGATCGTCTGCTGACACCGGTTATCGGATTCCATCTATATATACATTTCATGTTGATCTCAAAACGTAAGTCATTCTAGATTTTCTTCAATTTGAGAAAATACAGCATTAATTTAATCTGGAATAATAACTAGCTAATTTTTGTTGTTATTCCTGCAGTTATCAGTTAGGGAAACTGTTGGTTTAATATGAAATTTTTTTACTTACGCTATTGTAACTGTTGGGCGCAGAGACACGCCCTCACGTTGCTGAAACGATATCACCTGAAAGAGCCCTGGCTTTTGTTGTCACAAAATCACAAGCCAATCTTTATATTCCCGTTTCTCAAAGGAAACAAGAACAGAAAGTAAAATACTCAACAAAATAAGGTATACACTCTTCATCTCAGTAGTTCTAGGACTGAATGTCGAGGGAACCTACAAGCAATAGCCAACTCTTGTTCCAGCTCAACCTCTCATGGACTGAATGTCGAGGGAACCTACAAGCAATAGCCAACTCTTGTTCCAGCTCAACCTCTCATCAGTTCTAGGACTGACTTGTTCCAGCTCAACCTCTCATCAGTTCTAGGACTGACTTGTCGAGGGAACCTACAAGCAATACCAACTCACAGTAAAAGACGTAAGATTTACGTGGTTCGGTAAACTTGCCTACGTCCACGAGAGGGGATTTCACTATGAGGAGAATACCAAACTTGTACAACAACCCACAAGTTCTCTCTTCTCACTTCCTCTTAAGTTTCTCACACTCACTCAAGATTTTCCTCACCCCACTTCTCTTCTCTCTTCCTCTCTATTTATAGGCAAGAGAGAGTATGGGCTAAACTAAGAGAGCATGGGAGGTATAGGGCTATGAGCATGGGCAGAATAGGGGCATTGTACTTGCCCCCCTGCTTGTTTCCACTCACAGCATGGCCACTCATAATTCTCCACCTTGTTCATAATTTGATAAACCTTAAATTTTGAACGAACACCAGAAGAAGCCCCACGAATATCACCAGAGAGATCTGAAAGACCAAATCAGGCCAAACCAGCTATGTCACTATACCGCGACAGCCTACGTACCCTCCACCGGGATCAAGCTAACCGTAGTTCTACAATTATTCTCCAATATGGACTCCACCTCACCCCATCACCGCCCCGCAGGGCCATGCCCTCACGGGAAAATCAACACGAGCTGATATAAAGCAAGTTCAAGTAATGCTGAAACTTGCTGCCTGTCACCACATTGGTTAACATGTCTATGGGATTCTCATTCGTGTGTACCTTCATGAGAGAAATATCACATTCCTCTATGACATCCCGCACAAAATGATGTCATGTACTCGGCCTCTGTAGTAGAAAGTATCACTGTAGCCTGTAACATCGATCGTCAACTAACTGGAGCCTCATGTATCTTGAATACATAACCAGTAGTAAATCACCGTCTATCTAGATCGTCCGCATAATCAGAGTCAACAAATCCATCAATCTGACACGTATCTCCACCAAAATATAGACCCGTATCAATAGTACCCTTTAAGTACC